AACAGCACAAAGGGACACCAGCCTGCTCCAAGCACCTCGAGGAGTTGCACTCCACTCAGAGGTTTTAACCCTGTTTAGGTCAATCCAAAATAAGATCAAACATGTGAACATGAACACTTGGCCAGCACTGGCCAGCCTGATACAGGGCATAGACTAGCCATGACATCCCAATACAGAGCTGAGGCCACCTTCCCACCTCCAGACTGGGCCAGGCCTGAACTGCCTGTACCCTCCATCCTCACCTCCCGAGCCCCAGTTGATAGTCCCCTTGCCCATGTGCAGACTGGTGTATCTCAAGTGTTCATTTTAAACCACGGTTATGATAAGAAGAGTGACTACACCAAAATGTCCCCATGTGACTCACTCCATCTGAGCCCCAGGAATACAAGGGCCATATCTGCTGACTTCAGCAGCTAAGCAGTTTTCTTTGTATTCTGCACTAAATCGAGCAAAAGCCAATACAACCAGACGGGGAGCTGGCTCCACAGTAGCTCTGAGACCACTCACACACTTCCTAATGATGTAGTTAGTGGTAGAACCTGTACTGCTGCAAATCCAGAAGGGGCCAGATTCAGTTCTCTGATCCCAGGGTGAATGTGGTGCATGGGAAACAAATCAACTTTTCACTTGTAAAATGAGCTAGCCTGGTCTTGTTAAGGGGCAATCCACAGAGATTGCTGTAATGTCATTTGTACCCAGACTTTCCTGGAGCAGAACTGTGCTTGAGCTCCATGGTTGTTGGTTGTAGCCTTGTTGGTCTAAGGACATAGGTAGGCAAGGTTCTTTGGGTAGATGTGATATCTTTTATTAGGCCAACTAAATAGCTGGAAAAAAAGTTGCTTGAGCTCCATAGCACCCATCATTTTTATTCCCACAGTAAGATTTGGGTAGCAGGGGCCACCAAGATCAGAGGGGTTATATGATCATGTAGATCAAAGGGGTTTTCCCCCTCACATATCTCACTCCATAAATCCAAAAGCCCACCTTCGCTCTATGCCCCACTGCTGACAGGACCTTCTTCTTTCTAAGAAAGGACAGGCTTGATGGGTACCTTTCCCTTGGCCACTACCCAGGAAGGGGGCACTAAGGCTCAACAGTGGAGGGGAACCCTGAAGACAGCTCCTGGTGTAGTCAGGACTATCTTGAGGTCTGGCCATGTAGTTACTCAAATAGAAAATGTCATTGATCATTCCACTGATGCAGCTATGCGAGATCCAGGCCTGAGGCACAGGATGGAAATCAAGAACTCTGGGATCTAACTCAGCTACCATCCTAATCTGTCTTAGGCCAAGTCATTTCACCTCTCTGGCTCCTGCTTTCTCCATCTGTAACAAAGGGATGCAACCCTTACCCACTTGGTTAATGTCCATGCTGGGTTTGGAGGGTTGTCAGTGCCCATTGATAGCCTCAGTCACCGTCATGGTGCAAAGGCAATCTGAAGATACTGTGATCAGATGCTTACAGCACTGTGTGTACTTGAGGCCTACCACCTAGGATCTGGTGGTCCACAGGAAAGTGCGCCTCCCAGTCATTACATCTCACTGACCTCTCCAGGAGAGAATCAAGGAGCCTAGGTGCACTGTTGAAGGCAAAAGGGGATTTGGGGACCGCCACCCACCTCAGAGGAAAAGGAGAGCTCCAGGAAGGAAGGCCTAGTTTGCTCCTCTCTCTGGGCACCAGGCACTTAGGCTCAGAAGCAGATCTTTCAGGCTGAGCAAGCAGATTTGTGAGCAACCAGAAGGAGATGCTGAAAAAGTAACAGGATGAGACAGAGAGAGATACAAAGTGGAGCAGTGAGATGGGCTACTTACAGCAGGCAAAGGGCATATGCCCCAGACACAGACTCACTGTCCCGCACCAGGAAGCACCCATCCTTTCCAGCTTTGGCCAGCAAATCCTCAGCCACAACCCGGCTGATGTCCCGATGATACCAACTTGCCGCTGTCATCCTCTAAGCCAGCCAGGCCTGGCTGCAAGGTGTCCCCCAAATCAAGCCAAACATCAGGATTCTGCTGACATAGAGGCTCTGGGACAGCAGATCAGGCCCACTTGTCAGATCAAGATGTTCAGTATAGTTCAGTAGAGAGGAAGCGAGTATCTGTCGGATGAGAAGGACCCTTATCCTTGGGTAAGTGCAAGACTGAAGATCAGAAGAGAGCTGTACTAGCCACAAATCTGTCTCCTACTTGTGGTCTCTGACTCTTCTGTTCCACTCATTAGGTGGCACAGCCTTGGGTCTGCATGCCCAGATGGACCAATACAGTCCAGAGCAGAAAAACACTCCCCACGTAGCTGGGTCCATGCAGAGCTGACTGGGACTGAAGGTTGCTGAGTAGTCCAGATCACTGGGGCACACTTCATCTCAGATCATTCCAGTGGGTTTGCCACACAGAAGAGGGAGTGAACTGGGGAAGGCAAAGACAAAAAAGAGGCAGGTCAGCGACTGGGATCTCCATCACCGTCTACTCTAGAGCTGCCAGGCCCTGTGCTGTCCTGAAATCAGGCCCCGGAGCTGCCTGTGGGAGCCCAGACCTCCCCCTTGTGACAGAGGGAGCTGAATTTCAGCCTGGGATTCCCTGACTGTCCAGGGAGCTGTGCCTCCCAGACGCTGTCCAGAGTTCCCTGGGGCGAATGACTCCGGTGTGTCCCAGGAAGCAAACCGAGCTCTAGCAGCAGGCTGCAGTTCTGCCCTGGGTGCTGCTAGGTGAGCAGAAGGACAGATGTACAGCCGATGGTTTCAATTCCTCTTTTGTTGCTTCTCCCCGCACCCCTAATCTCAGCCCCTACCCTCTGGCCAGCGAACCCCTCCCTGCCGCTGCCACATTCCAACCTGTTGTGCCACAGCCGGATGCAGAGAAAGATAGGAGGCTCCAAACCAGGTCCGGCTCTCCCGTCCCCCAGGCCCAGAAACATCCCCTCTCCAGAAGCTGTTTACCAATGTCCTGTGGGGCACGAGAGGCAGTACCCATCTGCTAGGCTGTACAGGGAAGAGTTGCCTCCCAGACGGTTCCTCTGTCCTGCTCCTAGTACAGCTGGACCTGGCTGGCCTCTGTCTCCACACTGCCTGGCTCTCTCCCTCTCACTCCTCTTCCTTCTCAGCTTTTTCCTTCCTTCAGCTGTCAGGACGAGCCTCCTCGCTCCCCCTCCCCCAAGTTCAGTCTTTCTGCAGCAGTGGCTCAGCTGCTCTGCTGGAGGAAGCCAGCAGGGTCATGTGGGTGCAGCACTCACATGCTGCCTCTCCTGCGGGCTATCTCCGTTCTCACAGCTCCAGTGCCTCAGGTTACAGTCTGGTACACAACACAACCTCCTGTGGGGAGCCAGAGCCTCCTTCCCCGCCAGGGGTCAGCTGCCAACAGCTGGCCAGTGTCCAAGCTTTCACTTCACAGCATCGGAGGGGTAAAAAGGCCAATTAGATCATCCAGCTCCGCGCCCAGGGCCAGACCAGGATTGGTTCCTATTGTGCATTGCCTAATATTTTCTCCAGCGTAGCTCCAAAGGCCTTGCGGCTCCAGCCCTTCCCCTGGGGAGATGATTCCACAGCCTGACAAGTTTTGCTGCCAGGAAGTGTTTCCCAACAGCCAGACTTCACTTTGTGAAGTCCTTTCTCCTCAATCTTCTCTCCCTCCATCTCCTTTCTCCTCAATCTTCCCCCTCTCTTTTGTTCCATGCTAAACCCCTGACAGCACCTATCAGTGCTTACAGAGTATGTCCACCTTTCAGGGAGTGGGGCAGAGTCCTGGATGCAGCATAGCCCCCCAGAACCAGCAGTGCTTTGCTGCCGTTCTGGTTCAGGCTACTGTAGCGACCCTTGTGCAGGGCTGTAGGTGGGCAAATTAGCTGGGCTGAGAGGCAGAGCTAATTCATTTCAGCACAGTGCATGAATATGATCCTTTTCTTTCCCACAGAGGAGGCAGCCCACGGTTACCTCTCAGGTCAGAAGCAGCATATCCATGTTCACCTGGTACTGCATCTGCACTAGTTAGCAACATATCTGTCTTCACCTGGCACTGCGTCTTCATGGTACTAAACTAGCTGGGTTTGCTTGGTGCTGAGATACAGAGCTAACTATCCAGCTTTGGTGCAGCTCTATCAATTCCAGCTCAGAAGGTGACCCATGGAATAGAAGTAGGGGAGCCATGTTCCTGTGCTTCAGAAAAAACAAGATCAGGGCTGGGGTTTACCTTTGGTGGGGAGGCCCCTAACTATTTATTAGACAACTAGCCAATTGCCATCAAGAATGAGGAGGCAGGGGAGTTGAGGCCGGGATGGAGCCCCCTGGGCCCCCCCCCCCCGCCCAGCCTGCTCTCCCCTTCCCTCCTACTGCTTGGGGTCCAGGCCCATCCCCGCCACAGCCCGATGCTGGGGGGGGACTGGGCCTGAGGGTGGGGAGAACCCAGGCTGCCACGGCAGGGGGAGCAGTGGGCCGGGGCTGACCCAATGGCGGTGGGAAAACAGGAGGAGCAGGCTCGGGGCTGACGTGAGAGAGAGCGGGGTATGGGGGAGGAGGTCCACTCCTCTCCTCCCCCAGCTGCTGCTGTTTCGGGCCAGGCCCGCTCCTCCCCTGCCCCCACTGCCACCTCAACGGCGCGCCCACTATTCCTCCCACCGCCGCTGCGTTGGGTCCTGCAGGTGGCGACAGCAGAAGGGGGGGGAGAGCGGACT